AATGATTTCCACAGCCGTGAAACAACGCTCTGAGCGATGTCGAACTCCCTGGCAACATCTGTTATTTTTCGCCTTTCTTCGATCTTTCCAATAATTCGGTCAAGCTTAAAATCATCTTAGTGATACCGGAAAGACATGCCGAAAATTTCAAGTTTGTCAACTAAATCTTTCCTGTAAAACTTTGACTTGAAACAATTACTCTCCACACGCGTCAAAACCTTTAAAGCTCTTATTAGCGCTATCATGTGATGAACAGACGTGGAAAAAAAATTTGAATACGCATACCTCTTCTTACTACATCCCGCACTTATTCTAATTTTCAACATTTTGCTTCCTTTCATTTTGAGGTTGGTATGGATGATAGTGTTATCCGTCCTTAGCAATTGTCCAGCAGTGTATTATACGTATAGTCAGAAATTTGCATCCAAACATTGTCACACAGGTACGTGCCATTTTGCAACCTTACAAAATTATTATCCAATCCGTGGCTCGCGAATCTGAAAGAGATCATGAGGGGAAAGAAAATATATAAATAAAAATTGATACATCAACGAAACATCAATTCGTGAAAATATCATTGCATTGATCATTATGTTTGAGAAAGTTTTATTATTGCACATGTTCTTTGGTTCTGGTGAAATCGCTAAGTGCATATTTAACCTATTGCTTTAACTTATAGGGTCCTAGTCATAACATAATGCTTGTGAAAATTTTGCCAGTGCTCATGTTCTTTTGCATAAGTAAATTGCTTAAGTGCATATTTAACTTACTGCTTTAAATTATGGTGCCCTACATATAACATAGTGATTGTGAAGATTTTGTCACTGCCCATGTTCTTTGGCATTGCCTAAGTGCATATTTAACTTTGCTTTAGCTTATAGGGTCTTATTCATAACATAATGTTTGTGAAGATTTTGTCACTGCTCATGTTCTTTGGCATTCCCTAAGTGCATATTTAACTTTGCCCTAACTTATACGGTCTTAATCATAACATAATGTTTGTGAAGATTTTGTCAGTGCTCATGTTCGTTGGCATAAGTAAATTGTCTCAGTGCATATTCAACTTACTGCTTTAACTTTTGTTACTCTCAAGCTGTTGGGGTCAATGCCAGAATATCTATATAATGCTGATTTCCAGTTTTTCAAGAAGTTTACATCTGATGTAGCATTTTCAATGAGGTAGATACTGTCGTCATTAACTGCCCCTGTAAAATACGAATTAAAAGTTGGAAATATTTACGATGCAAATACTGATAGTAATAACAAGAGAATTAAAAGAAGGGTTACGAAATTAAATGCAAGAGTTAAGTTTGTTATCACCCGATCGATAAAGGTATTTGGTCAATTAACTTTTACTGCCACTTAGCATTTGCAAGATTGGTGTTTTCGTGCTGTGCTAACTAATTATTTATAAATCTTTTTTTTTCATATGTAAAATGGAATCGAATACATATTATAATGTAAAAAACTAGTGTGTTTATTTTTCAAAGTTGTTTGGCTACCTAATATATTAGTTAGTGAACCACGCCGAAAACAAGAATCTGCCACTTTGGCAATTTATATTGGTGTTTTAGTGCTGTGGCAATCAGTTATTAATGTCAGATATTATATTCTATTTCTTATTTCTTTTTAAATTTTTGTTCTAATTTTCTTTATTTATTCTATTGCTTTTTATATTTTAATTCTTCATTTTACTCTCCAACTTTATTTTTTCTGTTTCATTATTTTTATTTTACTTATAATTTATTATTTTTATTTTACTTTTTACTTTACTTTTTTATTTTATTTTATTTTACTTTATTTATTATTTTTTTATGTTTTAAAAATGAGTAGAAATGATATAGAACGTTTTGTCGCTAACTGTCTTTGGTTTGAAATTCTCTAACGTGAAACAAACTTAATGTTAAGTTTTTCTCAATTTAATTTAGCTTACCCTAATTTATTGTTGAATTAAAAAAAATTATATTCTTCAAAACAACAGTTATACTTTTAAACTTACGACATTATTTAAAAAGGAAAAGTGCAATTGAGGTATGGAATCTCAAGGGGGGGGGGCGTAATTTTTCCTTTTTTGTATCAGATATGCCTGTAGCAAAATAGCAGCAGCAAGGACTCTGACTTAAAAGAGACAAAAATAGACAAATTTTACATTTTAGAATTTTTTTCTACTATGAATAAAAATCTAAAATTAATTAAAAATTGGAACTTAACCGAAATATCAATTAAGACATCCAGTTTCCTCATATAACCCCCACTACACACCTGATTTTTAAGATTTTTAGGCTCTGGCTAAAAAATTTAGCCCCCACTACACACCTGATTTAACTATTTTATCGTGGCAATGGCAGGCCTTTGTTCCACCCTCCACTCTTAAAGTTCCCCCGCAGCACTAAAATTGAAATAAAACGCTAATTCATTTAAAAATAGTGTATTTTACTTTCAAAAATATCAATCAATTGTAATCAATAACCATATTCACTAATATAACAACAGAACGCAGCGAGTTTTCCTGGGAGACGAGTTATCTCGTCCAACGCGATAAAAGAGTTGAGGGACAATCATTTTCTTGACTCCCCATTAAATGAAAATAAAAAATTGCAGAAAAAACTTACAATCTATTACGAATTGTAGACGTCTTTTTTCGTCTTCGCCGAAGCAAGCACCAATGTCAAAGCTAGTAGCATCCATCGTGGTTGGATCCACCAAATTAACATCATAAAAATGGTGGAATAGCCTGTATTTTTCCGGAAAATCGTATTTGCTCCCACTCTACAAAGAAGCGATAAAAATTTAAGGAGTCATGCCTATATATGTATTTTTTATTACATTTTCTAAAAAGAATTACAACATAAATAAATGAACATACCTTTATAATATTGACTTGCGCACTAACAAGTCCATATTCACCGTTTCGGAAAATTACAGCATCATCCTGAAAGAGAAAGAAAAATTATCTATGAAAAGAAAATACCGGAAATTAACTATAATTGAACCTAATATATTGAATAATACATTAAGGGCTATAATTACGAAATATGTATGAAAAATTTAAATTTCTTTTCCAAATTTTAGCTTTTTTAATTTTAGTTTTTTAAAATTAAAAAAATTAAAATTTCAAAATCTTTGAGTTTGTTTAGGCTATAAATTTAATTATGTTTGAATTCTTCTAAAGCTCTTCCAAATCCTAAAGTGAGGTACAGGAAGTACCGGAAATTAATAATAATTAAACCTAATAAGATATTTCAAGAAGTTTTAATCCTTCAAAATGATTTATATCTGAATTATAGTAATATAATGATTTGATTTATTAAACTCTGTTAATGCATTTACGGAAATTACATTTTTTGTAATTATGTAGTTTACCTTGGTTGTGACATTCATAGAGAAGCACCATTCCCACAAAGATTCTACTTCCGCAGTTGGTTCCGGCCAATCTTTGCGAACTCCTTGGAATAAGTGGCAGGGTATGTCTCTTTTTGAAGTCTGAAAAATTTTAGATAAATATATTACAAAAAAATCCATTATTTAACCCGTTTATCCGGACTTTTTACATTGATGTCATACAAAAGATGCCTTTATTGAAAAAGTAGTAATGATATGAAATTTAATGGCTACTTTTTATTGTTAGCCATCATTTTATTTCGATAAGACCCTGTTTCTTATAGTTCTAGATCTATTGATAGATAACTACCTAACTTAATCATAAACTATGGAGGATGGGAATTTTTGATTTTCTAGACAAATGATAATATTGAAACAATTGTCTACCAAAATGTAAATTTCTGTTCATGACATTTTGCTATTATCCTACCAAAATACATGTTTTTTGTCTACGAGATTATCTTTTGTCCTTCCAAAATATATGTTTTTATCCGTGATGTTTTCCTTTTGTTCTAACAAAATACGTACTTTTGTCCAACCAAAATATATGTTTTAATCCGTGATGTTTTCTTTTTGTACTACAAGAATGTATGTTTTTTTCACGATGCTTTGCTATTGTCCTACAAAAATACATGTTTTTTGTCCACGAGATTTTCTTTTGTACTGCCAAAATACATGTTTGTATCCATGATGTTTTCTTTTTGTACAACCAAAATACTTTTTCCTCGATGTTTTGCTTTTGTCCTACTAAAATGTATGTTGTCTGCAGTGTTCTGTGCTATTAATATAACGCTGGGCACTAACCGGTTAAGCACACATGATGCGAAGTAAAGTCTGGCAATATGCCAATAGCTTTGCGGTAACGACAATTTCATGAATAAAAATATCATCCGGCTTTTTTAACAGAGCTAACTTGCATCAAAATACGGTGTTAGCGTTCCTATCTTACAAATGTTATGATAAGAAAAATAAGTTTACTTGAAACTTAATATTACTTGACTCTGTGTTAACGTGATTATGAGCCACTCTCCGTAATCACTTACGCCACTTTGCGGTAAATAATAAGGTTAACTTTATTGTATTGAAAATTTCACGGTGGAATTGTTATTTTACGATGTTACTTTTAAAAACTAAAACTTCAATTACCGTTATCAATCTGATTAGAATGATAGATCAGAAGTATTGGAATTATAGTTCGGAAGCATCCGATTACAAGTTTAAGAGTATACTAAAAATAGTTCAGGAGTATAGGGATTATAGTTCAGTAATATTGGGACTATAGTTCAGGAGTATTGGTAATATAGTTCAAGAATAATGAGATAAAAGCTCAAGAGTATTGGAAAAATAGTTCAAGAGTATTGAGATTATAGTTCGGAATTATAGTTCAAGAGTATTGGGATTATGGTTCGGAATTATAGTTCAAGAGTATTGGGATTATAGTTCGGAAAATTAGTTCAAGAGTATTGGGATTATAGTTCAGAAGTATTGGACAAATTGTTATTTCTTATGAGTATTAGGATTATAATTATAGATCACATAATATAATATATCTACCTATTGTGATGAATGTATGGAATCAACTTATCATGCATGATTACAAAAAAAAATCTTACAAATTTTATATATTAGAGAATGTGCAGATATGCAGCATTATAATTTTACTTATTATTTCTAAAATAAAATAGTTTTATAATTTTATTTAATTTTTATTTATACCTTATACCCCCGGTAACAGAAGTAAATCTGCAGCTCCTTCTTCACAAATCTCCTAAAATCTAAAAAAGTCAGCAGCATTCTTGCTACCGGGCTGCGATTTTCCAATCCAACGGCATTTAACTACCCACTCTCCTGTTTGGAATCTTCTTAAATAAATAAATAAAAGCTTGATTCTTGACTTTATCTTAGCTCAGGTAATAAATTATAAAAGAAATAGAAGTTTGCATTATTATTGCTACTGAATACAATAAAGAATAAAATCTTCAAAAAAAAGAGAGTGAGTCCTTTAAAGGCTCATGGATTGCAAATAAGCAATCGGGCTCATACCTCAAGCCTAAATTTTCAATAGTTAAAGCGGTAGACATAGGGATTCAATCTTTTGTCTCAATAAAACATTTATAATTCATATAATGTTTCTTCAATCACACAGTGAGTAAATATTGACAAATTTTTTATATAAGTTTGAAGGGAAAAAATGTTACAGAGCATGTTACCTTTCCAATATAAGTGTATGTGGTTTGATTTATTCCAAACAGATTTCCTATGGTCCAGTCCTTCAAATTGGCCTTAAAGTGTATCAAATTTTGTATATCATACTCATAATCAGGAATGCCTATTACATTACAGGATACTTCACCTTTAAAATATCTCAGCTGATAGACGATACCTGTTGGAAAGATTAAATGAGCTCATTCATAGAAAAACTTCTATTGATTACAAAAGATTCTCATATAATATACATATACATAATATACATTTCATATATATATATATATATATGTACACTGAAGAGCCAAAAAAACTGGTATACCTGCCTAATATCGTGTAGGGTACCCGCAAGTACGAAGAAGCGCCGCAATACGACGTGGCATGGATTCGATCAATGTGTGAAGTAGTGCTGGAGATAATTGACACCATGAATCCTGCAGGGCTGTCCATAAACCAGTGGGAGTAAAAGGAGATGGGGATATCTTCTGAACATCATGTTGCAAGGCATCCCAAATATGTTCAATAATGTTCATGTCTGGGAGTGGATCCAAAAGCACTCTTCTGAATTTAGACGCTTTCTCTGGCCACCAAAATCCCCAGACATGAACATTATTACCGAAGAGGGGGTGCCATCCCCTCTACGGAAAATCAAAATTGTGATGGCATGTCTTCGGATCATCCTCAAGGATGTTTCCCAGACATTCGCCAATAGCCCATTGTGCAGCTCTAATGCGACGTAAATGAACAAATCAATCAATCCTACCCGTATACCGAAGCTCTTTATCAAATTTAGAGCCATTTCTGCTGCAAAATATTGTATTTTAAGAATCATACGTACAGTATTAAAGTTCCTGTACAAAGTCCCTCACCAAACTGCTTTATTGCTTTAAAATTATGAAAAATTTTAGAACTTTTTCTAGTTTTTTTTTTTATCGAATTTATTTAAACGAGGCATTTACTTCGCATTTTTTTTTTCAAAAAAATATTTTATGCCCTAACATCAAACTTGCCTTCAAAAGTTTAAGAGTAAAAAAATGTGAAAAAGAACTAAAATAGAATGAAAATAATTTTAAATTCAAAATGTTGTAAATTATTGACCTCTCTATTTACTATGCTTAGTAAGGATTATATAAAGCAGAAATTAACGATGGTGCTTTAATTGTACCAAAGTAGAACAATGATTTAACTATCTCAAACATGTTATGTTATTTAATTACGTCGTTAAAATTTCAAGAAATACTTTTGTTAACATTTCAAGTTGAAACTAAGTGAATTTGAACGAAACTCACCCAGTTTTCCTAACACCATTTCTCTTCCATATTTAAGATTCTTTTCATAGCCTGCCTCTTGGTCTTTTATTCTCTCCATGTCCTGGCGCAGAAGCTTGTTTATTGGATCAAACCAAACCTATGAAAGAACATGAATGTAATAAATATTACTTGAACTCTAATAAGGAACCCTAAAAACTAAATACACATATTCCGTTAATAATGTTAAGAAAATTCGCATTAAAATTAACAAATGTTCATGAAATAAATTCACAAATTTGCTGTTTTGGAATATATTGAATTACTTTTATGTTATTAAAATTTATTAATATTGTCATATAAAGTTATTGGGTTGGTATCCTAGTACAATGATTTAAAAAATAAATTAAAGAAAAAAGGAGGATAGAAAGGTAAATTTTGCGTAGGGAACGAGTTAATTATTTTTGCACTATTTCAAAATTAGTAACAAAGAACACCAACAGATGACGCTTGTAACTGAAAATTTTTGAAATCATGGTTTTAAAATATATATATCCTTCAGCAGCTGCATCCCGAGGACAAAATTAACATACTCCCTTGAAATTTTCAGATAGAATAGTTTGGCATGCACGTAACAGTGTTTCCCATCAGAGACACCTGTTGACAAACTTTGAAATTAATTAAGGAAGTTGGGGATAATAATTTCCTTTAATTTATATTTCGAACGTCCATAAATTCCATTGATAAAATTAATGTTATTTGATTTTAAATTTACTTATTAAGTGTTATTAAATTATTTCATAAAAATGTAGCGTTCTTCATTTTTGCTATGCGTAATTAATTAGAGTAGTATTATTAAAATCAAAAATATCAAACATAAAAAGAAAAATCAAAAATAAAAAGGAATGTCAAAAATAAAAGGGAAGAAACGGAAATATTAAGAACTTTCAAATGCACGAATTATTGTGATTTAGCATAAGTTTATGATGATTAGTTCGAGTTGTTTTATTTAATTAAATATAAATAAGTTATAGCAGAAAAAGTTCTCTTAGTATTTGAACGCTCGAGTCGCACTTACACAGACTCAAAATAATGCAATATTGGTAAAGATAAGCAATCCTGATAGAAATGCAACTTCAAAAACAAAAACTATTCGATAACTCTCAGATTACAATAATGAAAATCACTTACATCAACATAATTAATTTGCTGATAATCCGGAAATATGACTTCAGAATGTAGGGCGACTGCTTGCCAATTGCTTACATCTGGAAATTTCACTGTTTGCTTACGATTGGGGCAGACTATTCCTTGAATTGGCTGAAAATTAATATAAATTACTTTGAGAGAGTTAGAAAATGTATAAGGATTTTAAAAAAATCAGTGGATAAAGGATATAAATGATATTTTGGTGAATTTGTGTATATTAATTAAAGTGAGAAATATAACTTCTTATGCCTTGCCTTAATTTTTTCTACTGATAGTGAAGTTTAAAAAAGCCACTGTATAAGTGCTAAAAAATCAAAACAAAGCTATAATTTTAATTAATATATATTGATTAAATCCTGTATATAGCTCTATATAAATAGTTTGAATATTTTAAAAGTTATTAAACTTTTTAAAAAAATTTAAACTATTTCTTAATTCTGAAACCTGATTATTCTTTTTGGCAAGTCAGTATATGTTGATAAAATTTATAGATTGTCTTCGAGACTGTGGCTTTTTATTTTCTTTTCTTTAAGTTATTCATGTCGTTGCGTTTACATTTTTTACTTTCCAATTTGCTTCCAGAAAACAGGTTTCTGTTACTTGTTGAGTTTACTTAAAACTTTTTCCTATTCCAAAAAGGTTCCCTTATCAAATAGTACCTTTGTCCCCAGATACTTGAATTTAAAATATTTGGCAAAATAAATAAATGTTGTTTAGTTAAATTCGACACAAATTAGATAATTACCAGTGTTGTCTCAATTTTAACAACAACGTTACATAAAACCATCATCTACCAGGCCTTCATAGCATAAGATCATTTCCCGAGTTGTTTCAATTTTAAAATCACTATATCGTAAAAACATAATCCATTGAACTCATTACTTGGGATCATTGTGGCATATAATACTGCCCCAAGTTGTCTAAATGTTGCAATGTTACGATGTGAAAAAATGCAATGTTAAAAAATTAAATTTAAACAACTTACGTTAATTGTCTTATTTTGCACTTTTCACTGATATATTGAATTTTTTTAAAAATCTAAATGTTTTTAAATTTTAACCAACTAGTGACTCTAAAATCGAAAATGCTTTTACAACCTCTGAGGTACTTTCTCCAAAAATTTTCATGCTGTCTGAACATATTTTGCAATCAACATTCGACAGTGAGATATGCGTTATTTTTATTATTTCTGAAGCTATTCCATGCGGTCATGATTATTTCCCTCTTTAAAACTGAAATTTCCATAAATGTGTGTTCGCTTTAAGTGGTTTCTACTGTATATATATAAGGAGCAGTCATTACACCATGTATGGACCAATATTTTAATATCTATTATTATTTATCCTTCTATTCTGTCCAAAATATAAGTTTCTGTTTTATAAGATTCTGTTTTCTATTCTGTCCAAGATGCAAGGTACCTCGTACTTGTGGTCAATTATAAATTACATTTTTTGAAATCTAATTTTTATTTTAATTTTAACCAACAAGTGAGTCGGAATTAATGTTTTTAACAATCTTTGAGGTACTTTCTCCAAACATTTTTATATTACCTAAACATGTTTTAGAATAAACGTTCAATGATAAGATATGCGAAATTTTTTTTATTACTTCTATGCCCATGTGGTCATAATTATTTCCCTCTTTAAATCCGAAATTTCTATAAATGCGCTTTTGTTTTAAGTAGTTTCTACTTGTATATATAAAGAGCAGTCATTATGAAACACCATTTATACCGATATTTATATATCTATTATTATTTATAATTCTATTCAGTCCAAATAATACAATACTTGTGCCTCGAATAACTTGCGGTCAATTGTGTTAGAATATAATACAATAGATGAAGGTGTAATACAATAATTGTACCTCGAATAACTTGTGGTCTATTGTGTTGGGTACAAAACCGAACACATTTATGAACTGTTCATGCAGTTTGACTGTAGCGCTGCCTCGTTTATAAATCATCTTTGACACAACAAATCCGAGTGGCACCTGTTCTTCGTTTGATGTTGTATTCCAGGTTTTATCTAAAAATACAGAAGGATATTTTTCAGCTGTTTTTTTCTTACCAGTTACTGTAGCTACAACACTTTACTCAGTCATGAAAAATGTATTATAGTTTAAGAGAAAAATAAAATACATTTTACAGTAATTCATTATTATTTGAATTCTCTTTGAATACTAAATAACGCTGTACAACATGAAAAATGCTCTTTACATGAAAATATGAATTTTTGTTTGTTTGATTATGTGCTATTAATTCTAAAAATAACGAGTCAATAACTGCTTTTGGTTTACCATGGACCACTTTTCCCAGGACCCACATTTTAGGAAGACGATTTTGTGTATTTCAATAGAACCAACACCCCCTAGCAGTAGGAAGGCCTTAGCACGGATCAATTTAGTAGTCCGATGCGACGAAGTTAACTGCGCAGTAGATGAAAAATAAGAAAGATGTCATTACGTTCGGGGTGCTAAGCTGCGCAGTGGTTGAAAATACGAAATATGTCATTACGTTTGGACTACTAAAGGATATTTATGGTAACCCGTGCTGAGTCCTGCTCTTATCAAGGAGGTGTTGATAGAACACTATTACGACTAACAAGTAAAGGCTCTCTCATTGACAACGTGACTGTGGCCAACTATGTAACCATTTTAGCGATTTTGGCAGCATTTTTGGCGACAAAAGATTTATCTACCTTCTTGAAGTTTCGAGGCTCTAAAGGCATTAGAAAGCGAGATATCCCAGGATCGACCAGAAGATTGGCGACTTTCCATCAACCAAAACGGTACCTAATGGACCTTTTTAGTTATGATGCCATGAATCGAGTATCTTTTGGTTTACTTATGCAATTTGGTTAAATTTTTTTACACACTGATACAAAGTGTTTATACGTGTATTACTCTACTTTGACTTAAAAACAACGCTTTTACATATGCTTTATTTTTCTACTACTTAGTTAGCAGAACAATGATTAAATTGCAGAAAAAAAAGATTAACATTCATAAGATAACGCATCGAAAGCTTTCGTGTGATAACGGAATGGTAACATTCGTAAGATAACGAGGCGAGGGCGTTTGCAAGATAACGTTATGAAGGCGTTTGTGAGATGGTAAAACAAAAGAGTTTGTGCGATGCAAAAGCATTTGCATAGTTACAAAACGTAAGAGGAACATAAACAAACTGTTGCATTCCAATATTTATTACAATTTCACACTCAATTTTTCAGGCACTTTATTTTACATGATTCTAAATTATTGATAAGGGTTTTTCGAATTTTCCGTGTAACACTTATCAAAGAATTATTGAAACTGTTTTTTTCCTATGCTCAACCGTCACAAAACAACCTTTCTTGGCAAACAATATGCAGTTTTTATAACTGCTTCGAGTTTTTAACAATTTATGGTTTATAAGTCAAGTCTATCTTTAACAATTGCCCTCTCTGCTAATTCCCATAAATGACACAAAACGTCAATATGAAAAATATCAGTTTTAAGAAAACTAAAAGCATTTGTGATCTAATTTCTCAACCTATTAAAAGTCACACTCCATCGCTGCATTGTCTGGGTTCATAAATTGAGAACTGTTAGTTGATGTCAATAATTTTCATATAGGTTTAAAAATCTCGCCAAAATGGCGATTTTACGTAAAAAGTTAACTAACTTTAAAAATTTATAACTTATTTATCCAGTCTAAAGCTCAGATAATTCTTTACGACAAGATGGTATATATAATCTAAATTGTAGCTTCAACTCGAGTGTAAGACACTTAAACTATGGCTCTTTTCATTTGCCTCGGCGTAGAAGCTTCGAAAAACACCATAACCTGACCTATTAGCGTGTATTACCTGACTATTGTTAATACTATATATTACCTGATATATACTATATATTATATATATTACCTGACCAATAAGCGTAGATGCTTAGAACTCTGCGCTGTCCATCCGGCTCTTCACCAACAATCTCGTACATCCATTTTCTAGCACTGATTCCACGAAATTCATCAGGAATGTCCTTCTCTTTGAGGTACTTATCATCCAAAGAGAATAATTGCTTCAATGAAAAACGAACCGTGCCATTTGTGTCTTCGTAGTTCAGAAGGGATGGAGGGGATTTCGTCTTGATCCATTCAGTTACAGTCATCTCAGCACACTCTGAAGAGGGATTAGAAAAATGCAGTCAGTTATATTACGAACGTTTAGTGGAGCTTGTTTATAACGAGACCATAGACTTAGACTAAAGGTTCTGAACGTTAGTGACATCGATTTACAAAGGTGAGAGGTGACGACTTTTAGGTAAGAGCTAAACAGATTGATTTTAATAAAAACAACGTGAATAAAGCACAAAAAACGGATATGCTACAGTTTCAATTCGATAGAGAAGAACCTTCTTCATTGAAGAAGGTTCTTGTTTATCGAAATGAAGCTGAAGCATAGTAATTTTGTACTTTTACTAGTGCTTTATTCACATATCACATTTACTAGCGCTTTATTCAGTAGTGTTATAGTTTATTCATGCGTTGAACAAAGTGTAACCTATCTTTATTAAAAGTATATGAAATTTGAATGTTCCTTCTTTCCATATTTTGAATTTTTTCATCTAGCATTTCTGCTTATCTGAATTTACTTTTTGCTATACTTTAAATTCCTAATGTAGGGAAAATAATACAGCGTCCTCGGGCCACATTGATTTTTTTCACCAAGTTTCACGAGTTATAAATCTATACACAAAAAGATGTTATTCATATGGAAAGGCGTTATCTCGCCGAAAGCTTTGGAAAGTTAATGAAAACTGATATCTTTTAATAGTTTTAAAACTATTTTAAGCATTTTAAAGGAATCTTAATACTCTTTTTTATTCTTTGGTTTTTCTATTTGGTAACTTATTTTCCCACGAGCTTGCCCATTATTTACTGTATTTGTTGTTGCTGTTATTTTGTAATCTTTACTTACATCGTAAATTTTACAAGTCTATCAGTTATTGTGTTTCTTCCATTTGTTATTTTGTAATCGTTACCTACATTGTAAACTTAACAAGAATGTCACTTACTGTGTTTCTTCCACTTGCTATTTTGCAATCGTTGCCTTCATTGTAAATTTTACTAACCTGTCAGTTATTGTGTTACTTCCATTTGTTATTTTGTAATCGTTACCGACATTGTAAATTTTACGAGCCCATCAGTTATCGCATTACTTCCGTTAGTTATTTTGTAATCGCTACCTACATTGTAAGTTTAACTAACCTGGAAGTTATTGTGTTTTTTCTACTTGTTATTTTGTAATCGCTGCCTACATTCTAAACTTAACTAGCCCAGTTGTCATGTTATTTTGTAATCGTTACCTACAATGTCAACTTTATTAGCCCATTTATCGCATTACTTCCGTATGTTATTTTGTAATCGTTACCTACATACTAAACTTTACTATCCCATGAGTTATCGTATTATTTCCGTTTTTTTTAATTTTGTAATCGTTACCTACATTGTAAATTTCACTAACCTGGAAGTTATTGTGTTTCTTCTGCTTGTTACTTTGTAATCGTTAACTATATTGTAAATTTTACTGACCTGTCAGTTATTGTGTTTTTTTCCGCTTGTTATCTTTACCTACCTACTTAGCTACATCGTAAATTTTAAAATATAATCAAAATAAAATGTAGCAATCCAGGTGGCTGACATGCCAGGCTTGCTATTTTTTGTGATTTTGGATAACGATATCGATCTACTGATCGTTGTTAAGAGATTTCAGTTCAATTTTAAAATTGTGCTGGAGAGGAAACAAAAAATCCAAAGTGAAATAAAATACTTTGAATAAATCTATCGAAAAAAGAATAAATACCAGCATTATCTGTGTATCTGAAAGTTTGTTTAGTTTCAAAGTTTTCGATAAATGTTGCATTTTTCCCCATGATCCAGATGTTGAAGGCTGCATTCTTTGTATCAGCATCAAAACTCTCTTCAAAAGCGATTTGAACTAAAATCCCTGATTCATCTTCTAATGTTTCTACCATTTCACCCGTGGCTCTATAGCTGCCGGTCACCTTGGGGGGACCTGGAAGAAAAAAGACAATAAGATTTTGATGTTAAAATGATCTAGTATGCATATGTAATATTTTCTTTAAAATTTTATTTGAAGCTCAACTAAAGGTAGGAAATATAAGAAATATTTTTATAAAAATTCTCATTTTTTTAAATAATGAATAACAATAAATTCTCCATCTTGATAGTTTTTGTTTAATCGAAGGATTTTGGGCAATATAGTGATGAACTCTATTATTTCTAAAGGTGATATTGGTGTCCCAAACTGGTTCTAATTGTTTCATCACTAGTTCCAGGAATTTCCACTAGATGGCTGCACAATACAAAAATTTTACTTTGAAATTTTTGAAGCTTAACTAAAAGTAGGAAATATAAAGGATATTTTTATAAAAATTCTCATTTTTTTTAAATAAAGAATAACAATAAATTCTCCATCTTGATAGTTTTTGTTTAATCGAAGGATTTTGGGCAATATAGTGATGAACTCTACTTTTTCTAAAGGTGATATTGGTGTTCCAAACTGGTTCTTATTCACTAGTTCCAGGAATTTCCACCAGATGGCTGCACAATACAAAAATGCTACATAGCTGACCTGGGAATTATTAGAATTTCACAAGAAACGCTCTTCTGAATGCTATGAAAATGTGCCTTCTCATTATATGGCTAGAAGCTCTTTAATTTACCTAAATTTTAAAAGCTATTTTAATACCAATGTAGTCTCCGTTGTAAATAGAGATATTTTGTTCGTGGAAGTTTTTAATTCAATTTCTGAATATCTCCGAGATTTAATAAATTTACTGAGGGGATCACCACCTGCTCCCTAAACTAGTCAATCCTCGAAACTGCTTTCGAAGTTCCTTTCTGATTGCTTCACAATTCGAGTTGGTTCAATGTGTAATATTGCATTCTAGACCAGCTCTATATGTATATTGATACATTTTTTAAAATGTTCTAAAAAATGGCAACATATAACATCGTTTCAAACCATTAATTTATAAACATTTTATTTAATTAATATATTTTATAATTTATGTATGCAAAACAATAAATTTCAGTGTTTGGAGATGCAATATTTACTTTATTTTTACTTGACTAACAACACTTTTATTCAAATATAAACTAGTAAAATAAATAAAAACTTAAACGAAATATTAAAAAAAAAATATATTGCTGATCGAACTTTCTTAATCAAACGCATCGTTATGAATCATAAATAAATTTGAATGTTGATTTAAATTAATATTCCACCTGCGTGAATGTATTAGCATGTAAAAATAAGGATACCAAAAACAGTTTTTAGGAAGAATAAGATTACAAAAAACAATTCTAAAAATATGGGGATAAATAAGAAATCAGGAAAATATGGCTCTGAAATCTTAATCAAGAGCGCGGACCCCTTAATACTAATTTCATTTTTCGCTATAACCTCCTGAACTATTTTAACAAAAGAAGAAAAAAAACATGCATTATTGTTATAATCGATCATCTAACGATAATTTCATATAAAATGTAATTTAAGACTCATTTTTATCATTATCGTTTAATTTAATAATGGCCGAAAAGTTTTGAATTGTAAAGGAATACAAGCTTTTGCAAAATCTTAAAGTGTATATCAAAAACTAAAATTCTTTCATTTCAATTATTAATTTGACTAATTCTGATTTATAAAGATGCAAAAATTACTGAACTAAAAAAATTATTTTTTTAAAAAAATTTAAAAAAAAATTAATTTCTTAAGACAATTGACTAAAATTAATTTGCCTAGTTAAAAAAACAAATATAAGAGCAAAAATTTATTTTTCAATGAGCTATCATTAGACAAATTTTTTTTAGTTGTATGCAATTTTTTTAAGTAACTTAAATAGCACTATAGTATACCTTTCAGATAAATTAAAAAATATTTCTCTTGCCCAAAATAATTATAAATTAACATATAAAAATGATGGCGAAGATGGCAGCGTATGTCGAGCACTGCTGGACGGGCGTAGCTGGATCTCCATACTGTATAATCGGAAACAGACGAGATCAAAAATTAATGATAATGTATAATTGTAGCCATGGTTAGAACAAAAAAAAATTAGAAATATATAATTTTTTCACAAAATGACAGCCATTTTTAAAGGAAAATAGCAATCTACTTTTTTTTTTACTCTTAAACATACATAAAAAATTTAAATTTTGGAAAAGGTTCGATTTTTGTTGGTCCCAAACGCAGCCACAATTATTCTCTGCAAATTTCCAGAGCGACATCATTGATTGAGAATTTTTTTTGTAATCCAAACTCCCCCTCCACACTCCAAAAAAACTTTTTGGGAAATTATGTTAAAATTTTTTAGATTATTCATCTTCGGCTTTTTGGGACTTACCATCAATCGGCGATGATTTGAACCTATTGCACGCCTTCTACGAGCTCAAACATATCGTCGGTGCACTTTCTTCCGAGCTGTAGATCTGACTTTATTGCTGGAGGTAGACGCGTGGTGCACCGAACCTTCAAGGCGATCTGCGTCGCACCGTTTGCAAAACATGAACAAAACACGCCACCCATCATGCTGGCAACCCCCATTAAACCGCAGTTGAAGATCACCGTAGGCAAAGAATTAGCAATGTCGACCATATTCTTATCGTAATTGATGCGTTTTGGAAAAAAACGTCCAAATAAGAGAATTTAGCGATCAGTTATTGTTTTGACTGTTCCTCTCCAACAGTCTCTCCAATCAATTGTCTTTTAACAGTTCTTCTTATATGCTTATTTATATTGATAACCAGCCGACCGGCCTGTGTAGGGGTTAGGGAGCTGCCCTTGCATCAGAAAGGTTCTGGGTTCGAATCCCGGGCAAGGCACGGATGTTCTTTGCTTCTCTGTACTATCTGTCCTTACTGTGGGAGCAACGTTGGTCCACGGAAAGGAGGCTAACATATCTGCCCTGTAAATGCCTGAATTGACGAAAAATGTTAACACAGGTGGGCATTGGAAAAAAAATTATTTATAATAATCTTTGAACAGCCGACCCAATTGTTTGCGCTTACGACTATTAATGTTCGACCCCGTAGCCTTGTAATTTTAAACCCAATCCAGAAGACAGGGGAACTCCTGGATCAAGTATAGGGGGAAATTCACCTCCGTGGTTGATTTTTTAATGGAACCCGCATTTGCGCTACATGGAGAGGAAGAGCACGAAAGCATCCTATGGTTAGGCTGACGGCAAGGGGACTCCAACCTATGATCTATCTACCACTGAGGATGTTTTTTGCCAGCTCGCACTCGGTACTACCCGAGTGGGGAATTCGTATCGACCAGCTATTGCTGGGATTGTTGGAAGGCTGACCCTCTATCTCCTGAGCCACTACTGCTCTTGGTGAAAATGTTTATAGCTATCATTTCCAGGTAATTCGGTAAAGACTGGGTGTTTAATTGGATTGCACATAAAGTATTCTGAATCCCACTCTAAAATATCTCCAATAGTTTAAATCTAGCTTTGTCAATCTAATTTTTAACTCTTGCTGTCTTTGCTCTAATTATTAACTTTTTGATGGAACTAACCCGTATTTGCGTTTCATGGAGGGGAAAGCCACGAGAACCTCCCACGGCTAGTTTGACGGCAGGTAGACTAACCCATGATCCGTCTACCACTGAGATATTTCACGTCAGCACGATGGTCGGTGCAAGTGGTTCGTATCGAGCAGCCATCGTTGGGATTCGAACCCGGTTCACCTCACTAAAGGCGAACGCTCTATCCCCTATAGGCCTGATTGCCGAACGACCTGACCAATTATCGCGTTTTTCAATCATTTCACAAATAGTTTCGCCTGCATATACCCCATAGTATGTAATGCAATAAAAAAAATCAGTTTGTTGGAATTTCTTTACGAGAAAACCTCCTTAATACTTTTTTGAGTAAACTAATGGGAACATAATATTTCATAGTTTATGGTTAAGCCCTACGTTTTGAGAAAAAAAGAAGAAAAAAGCGTGTTGTAAATAAAGAGGGTTTATTCAGAGAAAGTAGGTTTTTGTATCTGATTCCGTAGATATTGTTGTTGACGTATGCCTGTTCAGGCAGAGGGGGTACGACTGTTCTTGTTTTCCAGTGGCGCCATCTATGGCAAAGAACTTGACTTATGCAGCACCAATTCGTCACACCCGTTTATAGGGCGAACCCATTCATACATCCATTCATTCATCCATAGATCGTAATTTTTGACCTGAATCAGAGAACGATCGATCTCCAATCCAGTACCCTCAGAGATATTGATTTGTTATGGGAACATGAAGGACTTTGCCACTCGACAGATTTAACCTGAATCAGTCACCATTTACTACACTGGGAAACTTCAGTCGGCTGGAATCGAACCCACGAACTATTGGACATAGGCCCAGCACCCTACCGACCAGGCAATCCCTGCCGATTCCGCAGATTAAAAAAAATTAATTAGCATAAAGATTAGCTTTTCGAACCATTAAAGTTCCTGCTTATAATTTCAAAACGTTTAGTTCAAAAGTTAAGCTTTTTTTCTTTCTGCTTTGTACATAACTTGACGCAGTTTCCTCTGCCGTGCACCAATCATAATATTATGCTTTCAACAGTACACCATACTGCTCGTTCAGCTTAACTGTGTGCATAGGATTAAAATGTTTTCTTTTCCACAAAATTTAAAGTTTTTTAATTGTTATTTTTTCTATTTATTTATTTGATTGTTCTACATAAAATATTTTTTTGCTTTAAAAATTACTAAGTTTAGAATGTCGTAGAAAATTTCATGTATGACAATTTAAAAAAGAAAATGTTAATCATCATTTATGAAAAAAGAAAAATGATAAATGATTTCTAAAGAATTCTTTTTGAAAAAAGAACCTTAATAGCGGATAAAAAAGTTTCATAATTTTGAGGAAAATGTTTTTAATTTGTGCTGTTAATTTCAGAGATTTGGCGAAAATTCCACTGATATTCTAAAACCAATTCATTTAACCAAGGAAAATAAATAAAATTACAGTTAATATGTTTTAAATTCCTCTC